CAGTGACTGCCACTCTAGCAGGAAGGACCTTGTGCTGGCTTATATGCTACAACTGTTCTCCTTTATGCATAAAATAAATATTTAAAGCATTGATCCTGATCTAAAGATGTAACCAATTCAGATTTCAGACACTTTGAAATACAAAAATCATGTTATTGCATCATTATAGTTAGAAAGCTTGTGGTACAAGAACTACGAGATTGACAGTCATGAGTGCCATCACTTGTGTTTGCCCACAGTGAGAAGGGCTTATGGGTTTCTCAGATTGTGGGACTGGATTTGCATCAAGGGCACAGGGAACGAAGCCAATGGGAAGGGATGAAATGGTTAACTCCAATAAAAGCCAAGAGCTGCATCAGAAAGGACCTGTGGTTGTTGCACAGTGTGTGTAAGCAATATGCACCACGCAGACACAAGAGCGGAGACCCCAAATAGTTCTTTAATCAGAAGGGTGGTCTCAGTATTCGAAGGCACCTGAGTAGTGGCAGTGCACGCATGTGCGTGTGGGAGGGAGGGAGAGAGCCAAGTGGGAAATTACTATGTGGGATCTTGACTGGAAGGATGAAGCTGGCCATGTAGACCAGGAAGCACGTGCCAGAAGAGACCTTGGGCCTGGGAAGGCCGGCAGGAGAGATGGCAGCGGCAGGTTCTGTTGGCTGACAGTATGATACTTTTCCACTTGAAACACGAGAAACATATTTCTTGATAAAACAAGAAAAATTAAAAATAACACAACAAACCTCCAAGGTAGCAAATCTAGATAACAGTCTTTTAATCATCCATGCTGTCCCAGTTGACGAAATGCTAACAATTTTCTGGGCATAAACACCTGCCACCCCCAAACTCTCTCACTCTTCCAGCCCTCTGCCTCGGTTACAGGCTCACCCAGGACCCCATTCTGGGGAGAACTACCAGTGCAGGAAGGAGGTGAAGCAGCCCGACTTGCAGAGAAACGGCATCAAGTACGAGGGTAACACTGCCGCTGAAACCTATACAAGATCTTATTTATCCAAAGTTAACGATGTAAGTTATATTTTAAAAACTATTCCCTTTTTAATTATAAAAGTCTCTTCAAATTCACTGATGATTTAATGACACTAATTAGACTGTGTGCTCAAGAAATCCGTCTGACAAACACCACTGCCAAATGTCACTAAAATATGATGGCTCATGAGGAGTTTAAATCATCAAAACAGAAGCGACAGATGTAATGACACAATTACACAGTTTAAACAGCTTTTATGATCTCCGTTTTAAATGGGAAAATAAAACAAACAATTAAAACGCAGACAACATGTAACCTTGAGATTGTTCCCGTGCGTCTGAGAACCAGGCCCAGGACCACGTTCCTGGGGGCTCCCCTGGTCCCCCGGAGCACCCGGCCCTGTGGTCGGGTAAGGTCTCCCAGGGATACCCAGCCTGAGAAGTGCCCCACCGGCCAGGCCGGCCCGGCATAGGCTGCACGGTGCCTGCTCTGGAGCCTGCAGAGGCTGATGTGAGGCCCCAGAGGGAGACTGCTGTCCACCTCCAACGCAGTGACACGACTCCTGAAGCGCCACTGTGGGGAGAAACAGGGTCCGGAGGCAAGTCCAGCCTTGCCCTAAAGCGGCAGCACCAGCCTCAAGTCTCAAGGGTCTTCTGATGTTTCTTTGCTTCCTAGCACCACCTCCGATGACCCTCACATACATTGGGCTTATTTGTCAATTTCTCATTTATGTTTTCTCTTGTAAAAGCTACAAATTCAATTGACACATACGTGAGAACATAAAAAATTAGTGTCTTTCTTAATCCTAGTTGGCACAAAAAGCCACACTGCAAGTTTAGGGTCCATCTTCCAATCATATGCTGTTTGAACGCTCCCTATTATATTGATGGATGAGGACGGGAGTGTGCAAAGGACAGTGAAAATACAGGGAACAAATGCAATTCAACAAGTAGCTGCCGAGTTCTCTCCTCAGCCAGGCGCTGTGCAGGGCCTGCAGGGAAGCCAGAAACGAGCAGCTGTGTGCAGAGCGAGGGCTGTGAACACAGTACCAGGTCAGAGGCTTGAGAGGATAGGAGACCTACATGGCACACAGTGCTGTGGCCTCGAAAGACGGAGAGCAGGGACGGGGCCCCACTGGTCTCGAGGAGGCCAGGTAAAAGAGGACTACCTGAAATAACAGGCAAAGACAGACCACAGTGATCCTTCAGATTTCTAAGATGAGATAAAGATATGGGACTGTGATGGCAGAAGTTCAAAGGCTGCTGTCGAGTAGAAGAGTAACTCACGCCCGACACGGGGCGAGCACACGCCCTGGAGAGGAGAGAGCTCAAGTCTAGTTGTTTAAATTGCTTTTAGGAGTCACAGAAATGTGAGGCTACAGCTTCAAAGACAATGAAACCGGCAGCCTGTTGAGGGGGACTCCTGCCAGTTATGAAAGGCCTGCAAATCAAGGCCACTGTGTGGGCTGCAGGCAGTCACCTGGAGTAACTTCATCTTTCTGTGACTTTTGGCTGACAAGTGACCATTTCCCGCAGCCAGCCTAACTCAGACATTTCTCCCAGTCCCAAACCAGAGACACATCGTTATGCTCACAACCAAACACACCATGGGCCAGGGCCCTCAGCGGGATGCAGGCCCGTCCATCGCAGAGCAGAGCAGCAGCTGTCAGAGATGCGGAGGCTCTCGCACCAGCAGGTCCAGGCCGCTCAGCATCCCACCGGTCCTTCCTCTCTCTGTGATCCCAACAGCCAAGAAGAGCGGGGGAGGGAGCGTCTGCGCTCAGTGTCGGGGAAGTAAAGGGCATTGTGCTTGCCCTCGTGGACCCCTCAACTCCTCCATCCCAAACCCAAGGATGCTTATTAACAAGCAGAGGATCACAATGGCTGTGGCGGGCCAATCACCATAGAGACTGGTGACGTCTTTGTTGCACAGGACCACTAGGTCACTCAGCGTTCTAAAGGCACAACGAGAAGGCCTGGACCTCCAGCAGCTCAGGAAAGCATCCTCTCCTGGCTTTGTCCAGTGCTGACCTGAGAGGGCCAGCTGAGTCAGGGGGAAACAGCAGCGGGAACAACAACCACCCCAAACCAACAAAAACCAAAAGATCAATCAAAACTCCCAAGACCCAGGGCCTCTGATGCAGCTTCCCAGCACTCTCTGGTCTCATGAGGCCTTTGGAAACGCAACCACATGCTCACACGTGGTTCCGTGAGTGTGGACTCAGAGCTGCCTCCAGGCCCACTCTCAGGAGCCACTGGGCACTGTGCTGCAGCTTGCTGAGCCAGATGACACCACTGGGCAGCCTCGCCCAGCAATTCTGCTGATGATTCTACAGATAGAACTGATCCCACCGGCCTTGGCACATTTACATTCCCTCATCTTTTCAACAACGATTATTAAATGAACACACTGAGCAAAGTGTTTTACGTCTACAAGGAGGGGTAACCAGGATCCTGCAGATGATGGAATTCCTGGCCAGAGGCAGAAACAGATGGATGTACCAGTTATTCTGCATGGCACTGGTGGGCACCGGCGGGCACCGGCGGGCACCAGCCATCTGGGTGCAGGCTAAAGCCTGAGGAAGCAAGGCGGGCTGAGTGACATCCACCCATGGGCCGTGTAGGTCTCTCGAACGGGCGTCTGGGAAGCATCAGGCAGCACAAGGGTGTAGGCTTTTAATTCCCCACCTCTGTGCTGTCCAGTGTAGTAGCCACTAACCACAGGTGGCCACGGAGCGCCTGAAATGCAGCCCGTCCAAGTGGAGAGGTGCTCTGCGCATCTGGTCCGCAATGGTTTACTGAGACTCAGCACGAGCAGAACTTTTATACTGATTACATGTTGAAATAACATTGTAGAAATATGAGAATAAATAAAATATATTAAGATTAATTTTACCTTTTGGTAGCCAGGCTCCCAATGGCCCCCAGTGACCCCTGCCTCCTGGTGTTCACCCCTTGTCTAGGCCCCTCCTGGGATGTACTGGGGTCGGTCCGTGTGACCAGTAGAACAAGGCAGGGAAGGGGTTACGTCACTTCCAAGATTAGGTCAAAGGAGACACTGAGGCTTCCACCTTGGTTACTTGAATCCTGGTCTCTTGGATTGTTCCCTCTGGGAAAGCTGTGTTGGGAGAGGCCCACGTGATGAGGACCAGAGGCCTCCTGCCCACAGCCACGTGGTAAGCTCGGAAGGGGATCCTGCAGCCCCAGTCAACCCTTCAGATGAGACTGCAGCCCTGAGAGCTTGACCGCAGCCTCACGAGAGACCCTGAGTCACAACCCAGCAAAGCAGCTCCTGGGTTCCTGACCCACAGAAACTATCAGATAACAAGTTTGTTGTTTTAAGCTGTGGGGTAATTTGTTACATAGCAATAAATAACTTACACAATCTGTCTTTTCTTTTGCTTTGTTTTATGGTGGCTACTACAAAATGTAAAGTTACCTATATAATTTTAGTATACCCTGTATATTTCAATTGGACCGTGTTGCTCTACATGGTTCTAAATACAGTGAGAGCAAGTTATGATCACAGACATCATAATTGGTCTGTCGATCGCATAATATAACTTCATTACATATCACTAATACATGTTTCTTTCCAATGTATTTAATTTTAAAATCTGAGATCAGATTAAATACTTGTAAAGAGTAAGTATAAAGATGAAGTAATATTTTGATGCTGCTTCTGGCTGGTAATTTTTCTATTTATAGATACATCATATATTTGTAGATGAAATTAGATGGTAAGTATTTTCCCTATTTTAAGTACACTTCTACACCAGGACTCTCAAGTGCTGTTTCCCACCACAAAAGCCACAATTTACTTAACCAGTGCCTACCGTCAGACACCCAGGTGTCCGCTAATTTGGTATTAACAGCACAGCAAGGTGTACGTAAATCCTAGTGTTACAGCTAGTTATTAGGAACAATCCTTAGCAGGAGAATTTCGGTGCTACAAAGAGCATGCCATTTCCACAGGATCCCGAGATGGGCAGCTCCTCCTGGACGCCGTGACTTACTTTTATGTGCTCGTGCAGCTGGGCCTCGTGCTGCCGGGAGAGCTGCTCGTGCTGCCTCTGGAACTCGGCGATGAGGATCTGCCTCTGGAGCTGCTGCTTCTGCTTGAGGGCCAGGAGCTCCTGCTGCAGCTGCTGCTCCCGGAGGGTGGGCTCCGTCACGGGCAGTGAAAATTGGTGGTCCAGGCGGAGGTCCATGGGCACGGCCGGGGGGGCGACTTGCAAAGGCAGCGCCGAGGCCACGTCCACTGCAAAGAAAGCACAGCACAGAAGCGCCATTACTGCAGCAGCATGGTGTCCCTGGCCGAGCTCCACGGTCCCTCCCAAAAAGCCACCGGCAACCGTCAAGGGGTGCCCATGTGCTAAAGGACATTTTACACTTCAGATGCCTCCTCCTGCCAGTCTTGCCCAACAGGCTCAAAAAGCAGGACCTGGAGGCCTGTGAGGGGTTCCATTCCTCCAGCGCAAATATCAGTGGAAGGTCAGACCAGGATATACAGTTGCACAAACTCTCTTCCCTCCACCCCCACCCTCCACAGGGGAGGCCCTGCTCTCTCAAAGGACCCTGCGGCAGGCCAAATGCCCTTTCTGACATCATTTTTGAAAGTCCACAAAGAGAAAAAGAAAGACAACAGCCCTGAAGAGAACTAAACACCAATGAGAGAGCGAACTGGCCTGCGCTTTTCTTCTTCTTGTTCATGAAGCCACTGAAGAGTTTGTGCGTGAACCACAGAACAGTGTGTGCCACTGAAGTGGTCCAGAAAGACGCCCAGGACGGAGAGCCCGTTTCCATGGTGAAGTGAGCGCCCTCTCGGAAAACATGTTTACCGACTGCAGCCAATAAACTGCTCCCGGCTCGCCTGCACCACCACACTCATCAGGGGAACGTGCTTCTGGACCTCACGGAGGAACGGGTCTCCTTCACTGTACTAATTCACAAAGGAACGGGTCTCCTGCACTGCACTAATGTACTGCCGAACACAAGCTACAAGTGATTTTGATTAGAAACAGAAGGTAAATCAATCTTACTGCTCACAAATCAATACCAAATTAAAGTGAGAAAAGGAGTGTAGAAAGAAAGTTTTAAATCATGGATATCACAAAATAACTCCCTTTACGGCAGGTTTACTTGTGAGAAGTACTTGGGTGCACGCAGGCCTTCGCTGTAAGCCACCGTCGCCTCCAGCGCGGCCCAGGGACATAGTTGTGTGGGGCTTCTCAAACATGTGGTGGATACTCCCTCAGGCTCTGCTCATAAAATCCCATGAAGAGCTGAGGTGAGAGTACAGCCAGCCTGAGCTCCTCCCACAGAACCCACGACAGAGGCCCAGGGGCTCTCCCGTTCCTTCCAGAAAGCTCCCCCTACAACCTGCTCTGGGCTCATTTCTTCGTCAACTGACACACAACAGACCTGGGGGCCCGGGGGCGGGGGTGGGGCAAGGCTCAGATGGGAGCCCAAACTCAACAGGCGAGGGCCACCAAGGACCAGCTCCTCACCTTTAGGACCATCTCTGCCCGGACCCCCTGCAGTCGGGCCATCTTATCCACTTGACCTTGTCCCAGCGTCTCCCTAAGAGTGGCCCACCCACATGCCCGAGGACCTGATGCGCAGATCACAGGGCCCTCCAATCCCAAACATAACTCCGTTCCTCAGGAAGTCTGTGCTCCACAGCCCACAGCCCATAGATTCCAGTAAAACGGCCCATAAGTGGAACCACCTCTCGAGACAGAGCATTTCTGTAGTCAAAGCCCAGGTGGCAGGTCTCACGCTGGCCGTTCTACGAAGCAAAGCTGGGAAACGCTGCTTCTGAGGCTGAGGCCGGCTCTGGCAGAAACCCTGGGTTCTAAGCCCTGAGCCAACACAGTCACCTGGCCTCACTGAGGCCCTGTCCTTGACTGAAATGTGGCCATCATGCCTGCAGGGCACACCTCATGTAGGCAGAGGCCAGGACACTGCCTGGCCTGGGACAGAGCGGTGCCTGGGACATGGGGCTCTCTGGCTCCTTGTCACCATCTTTCCCTCCTCAGGACTCACAACCAATCCTTGGCTTCTTCCCATCTGAAGCGCCCACGGCTGGCTGATGGAGGCCCAGAGCCTAGAGCAGCTGTAAGGCAAGGCATGCCTGGGCCCTGGGCCACAGGCAGTGGAGAAAGAGACAGAACCGCCCAGGAGGCAATCGGAAAATTCTCATAATTGATCATTTTAAGAAAATATCTAATTCTCCTCTCTTTTAAGCACCAACAAGCACAGAATAAATAATAGCTGATTGTTTCTCTTCTGTTTCTTCCCCAAATCAGTGAAGTGCAACCCTCAACTTTTTAAAGATTTTATATATTTATTTATTTATTTATTTCCCCCCGACAAAGCCCCAGTAGATAGTTGTATGTCACAGCTGCACATCCTTCTAGTTGATGCATGTGGGACACGGCCTCAGCATGGCCGGAGAAGCGGTGTGTCGGTGCACGCCCAGGATCCGAACCCAGGCCGCCAGCAGCGGTGCGCGTGCACTTAACCGCTAAGCCATGGGGCCGGCCCTCAACTTTTTAAACGTACTTATTTTTTTTCTAATTGGGTATCAGCCTTGACATATTAAAAGGTTTTTATTTGATATTTACGTGAGAAAAATCTACACAAACTGTGTTTTCATGAACAGGACAGGAAGGGTAGTATCCCGACCCCCCCACCACAAGCTGGTCAAGGCTGGATTTCATTAATTTCATTTCTTTTTTTGATCATTTTTATTATGAAATATAGAAAAATGGGAAAACTGTGTAAATAACACCAGTTTTATAAAACCTCAATATTTGCTTCAGACTTTCTCTTCAGGAATAAAGTATTACAGAGCACAGGGAAGAGAGCTCAGCACACAACCTCAGAGAGAAGAAAAAGAGAAAGTGACTCGACTTCTTAAAGGAAAGTTCGGTTCACGTTTTCCTTGCCCAGGAGGGGTATGTTACCCTGCTTTCACAGGAGGGCACCGCTGACGCTTCCTAAACACATCACCCCTGCGGATGAGCACCAGGTCCTCCAGGCCTCTTTCTAGCTGCATCCACGGGTGCACCACAGCGTCTCCATTAACCTGTGAACCTGCCCAGTTACTTCAGAGATCACAGGTGAGTTACTTAACAGACTCCTCGGCCGGTCTGCCTTTGCTCTCTAAGGATAAGCCTGACTCGCTGAGTTCTACACACCCAGTCACTGATGGATTTAGCCCGCGACTGTTTTATTGAGAACGTCTGAGTCACGTTCGCGGGTGAGATTAGCCTATAAGGTCTCTCTCTCATACTCGTTTGTCTGGTTAAGCAGTGATATTTTAGCTTAAGTAAATAAGCACAGGGAATTCATGAAATAATCTTATTGCCCTGTATTTCGTAAGCTGTATCACCTCGTTTGCTCTACAGCGGGTGGGGCCAGGTGTGACCCCCCCACTTATAAGATGTGCCATGGTGACCTAAGATCTTGTGCAAGGCCATCCCTAAGATGCTGGGCAGAAGAAGACCCATCTGCTGCTCATTTTAGCATATTCTCTCCTATTTCTAATTTTTCATAGATGGGGGTCAGGGAGACCATCAGAAATGTCTAGTAGTTAATCTCTTTAAATGCACATAAGACAACCTTTAAGGTATCCTTTTTATTAACTTCAAAAATATGATGGGCCAAACGTTTCTACACACACTTCCACTTACTGAAGAAATATGCAGGGCCTCTGCTCTGTGCTGGATGCTGGGGACAGTTGCCTGTCCAGCCTGGAGCAGGCCCACGTGGGACACCAGAGAGGAGAGGCCAGTGGGGCTGATGGAAGGCCCTGGGAGGGTCCACACAGGGGCTGTATCTCCCCGAGATGAAAGTGGCAGCGTGAGCAAGGACCCAGGGGTCCCGGCGTAAGTGGAGGGTGGTGGGGACACTGAGGGAGAGGAGGAGCCCGGATCCCTGCTCAGAGAGAAGCCTGCATCTGTAAATCCTGGAGTCCCCGCAGGCCCGGGCGGGGTGCTGCCCTCCCTGGGCAGCGAGGGGGAGGCAGGCCTCAGACCCAGAGGGGCCGGCAGCAGGGTTCTGGGGGCTGACAGAGAAGAGGGTGGTGGCCTCGGGGAGGATGCTGCAGGTAGAAGCAGCGGCTCAGCTGCTGGCCAGGCTGGGCTGTTTCAATGGCTCCTTCTGAGTAACGGGGTGAGGCAGGCTGTGCATACCCACCACACGCCAGTGCGGTTCAGTTTGTTTACTCAAACTTTTCTCAGATTCTCCTGGGCCTGGAATCACAGGGAATCTGATAAGGCAACACTGCCTGGAAGCCCTGGTTAGTCATTCCACAGACACCCAAGAGTGGATGGGTCCAGGTGAAGGGTCTGCCGAAATGGCCAGGAGACCTGTAGAAGCACCCCCTCCTGCCTGGGGTGCACAGACGGAAGGCATATGTGGGTGCCAAGGTTGATGAGCAAATGCTGTCTCCAGCAAATGCTATCTCCAGCACAACGTCGTCATGTTCTCCAAGTGTTAGAAAGGGATGGAAGTCCTGCCTCATTTACCATTTTGTGGTATCACATAAAACTTCATTCTTCTGCTAAAGAAAGTTAAAAGCATAGCAAAGAGAATGAAAAGCTATACGTTACCCACGTCATATATACCATAACCAACTACTGCCATTTCGTCACCCCTGAAAACAATGCTGCATTCACAGATAGACCCAAAAACAAGCATTTGAAACTCCACGGGGCAAGGAGACCCACGCAAGGGCCCCCTGAGAAATGCTGCCTTCCCACTTCTAATATGCTCAACACTGGGAAGCCAGGTGGGTGGGGGCAGTGGCCGACGCTGTCTCCAGGCCCTGCCCTGCACACCAGCTGCGGAGATCAGAACCACAGTCCCCATTCATTCCAGCTGCTGGCGGGTGCGTCAAACATGACTTGTACTATTTTGGTATCAAAAACTATTTGAAATGCCATGAGTTCTCAACAGAAGCTGCTAGTGCTTTTGACCCAAAGCGCCCTGAAGAAAACAATAAAACCTTTTCTACTTAAAGAATGCAGCATCAAAACAAAAAAGCCTGTATTCTCATGAATATTTTATGGTAGAGCAGAAAATTGCTTTTATAGGTTGTGCCTTGAGAAACATATTAATACAATCAGACTCATGACGTTAGTCAAAGCACAAAGACTATATTCAGAGTTTCAATGAGAAATGGCAAGGCTGTGCTGTGAATTACAAGTTCTCAATCACAAACAGAAAAAATCTGTTAGTCTCTGTCTATTT